TTAGTTATTTTCTCCATAAATTTAAAAGTTGTCATTTCACTTCACGTGTTTATTATGTAAACAATGAAATCGAAACAATATTATTTTATGCAGGTTAATTTGAAATTATTAGTTTTTTCTCTTTTATGGATCTCAACAACTTTCCTAGACTGCTTCCATTATGGGGAGAATACGGACTAAACCAAATGCAAAATTCAAATATTTCCTACAGTTCATTTTTCAAAGACATTTGCATTCCAGATTTCGGCGGGAGTGGGATTGATGTTGATTTTTCTAAATTATCATCATCAAATGAAGCAGACGATGGTATCTTTATACCACATAAAATTGAGACTGGATACAAATTCAACCCCAATGGGCCAACTTTGCCATTTTTACCCCCAGCCAAAAGAAAAAAAGGTAAGAATAAAAACTCGCTAAGTGACCGCTCATATAAGTATAAATAAGAAAAAAAAAAAAAAACAATTTCACTTTTGATAATTTTTTCTTATATAAGTTTTGTAGGATTTAATAAAATGAAAGAAGACAAGTTTCTAGTAGCAGTAAAGAAACTTGTCTTCTTTCATTTTATTAAATCGCTACATATTTTACTAAGAAGAATCTTCTATATCTAATCATATAAGTGTGTTAATTTTAAAATCAAACAAATTTACAAAGTGCATTTATATGCAATTAATATATTTTACCATGACGCCATTCTACAAGGCTAATGCTTCGATATGCCTATCAGAAATGAGTATTTTTACATTATCAGGATGAATATTATAGGATAGAGAAAAGCATAATGTTTACCTCTATATAAGAATTTTGGGTGAACCCTCGACATTTGGCCCAATCTCTGCCAGCATCTATTAGCCAATAGGGTTCACATATAGCACAAGTTGGGGTAAGAAAGGTCTGTGTGAAACCTATGCCCACATCAAGTCAGAACTACATAGCTGATAGAAATTATAAAGATTTTGGCCTAGCTATGTTACCATACAACATATTAATACACTTGAAGTTACACCGCATGAGTTTCTTTTCAATGAAAAATTAAAATTTTATTTCAAGGTGAAATATTGACTATTTCTAACCTTTTTGGATGAGGTATGAAAGGGTGAATTATGGGAATTCCCATCCCTGGACACTTTTATTTTTCCGTTTATCATTACTCTTCACAATTCATCCTTTCATACCTTATCCAAAAAGGTTAGAAATAGTCAATATTTCACCTTGAAATAAAATTTTGATTTTTCGTTGAAAAGAAACTCATGCGGTGTAACTTCAAGTGTCGTTTTGCAATCACAGGCCGCAGTGTATTATATTATATTAATACAGTGGTACATCGACATACGAGTTTAATTCGTTCCGCAACCTTGCTCGTATCTCGAAGCAAATTTCCCCATACAAAACAATTGAACTACCATTAATCCGTTCCAACCCTTAAAATGTCACTCCAGTTATTTTTGTTACGTGGTTTTAAATAATAAAAACGTATTTATAAATATCAAATATTTATTGCACAAAAACAAAAAAGAGAATGTAAAGAAATAAATTAAATATCCTCACTGGTCTTTGCCTTTTTCGCTACATTTTTCTCGCTTTCACCTGTAGGCCGTTTAGAAAAAAACATGTCCAAGGAGGTTTGTTTCTTCCTCCCTCTCAACGAAAAATCACTTGCTCGTCGGCTCGTATCTCGAAAAACTCGTATGTTGGGGCGCTCGTATGTCGAGGTACCACTGTACACTGTTCATTCTCTCTTATTTTTTATCTTACCCTTTGTGCGAAACCATGAATAAACACATGTTCATTTTAAACAACTTAGACCCATCTATTGCTGAAAAATTAAAAATATATATTAAATATTAAGAGTATATTTTAGTTCGTGCGTGTTTTTAGAAAATTGAAGCTTTATTGTGAAAACTGGTTAGACCATCAATGTTCAAAGTATTGTCAATCGCTAACCACTACTTTTCCCCATTTTTCTGGCAATTGACGGATCCCATCGCGGAAAAAGGCCAGCTCTTTGGCCACCATCCATTCACGATTAATTTTTTTACTTCAACGTAATTGGAGAAGTGCTGGTCAACAACACACAGCCAGGCCATAAAATATAATGCACTGCGGCCTGTGATTGTAAAACGACACTTGACGTTACACCGCATGAGTTTCTTTTCGAAGAAAAATCAAAATTTATTAAAAGGTGAAATATTGAATATTTCTAACCTTTTTGGATGAGGTATGAAAAGGAGAATTATGATGAGTAATGATGAACGGAAAAATAAAAGTGTCCAGGGATGGGAATGGGGGTCCAGGCCATGCTGCATTGATCGAAAGAGATAATAATCAGCAGGAGCAATGTCTGGGCTATACAGCGGGTGGGATAGGACTTCCCATTTGAGCGTTTCTAAGTACGTTTTAACGGGTGCTGCAGCATGTGACTGAGCATTATTATGTTGCAAAAGAACTTTGTTGTGTCTATTGGCATATTTCAGCCGTTTTTCTCACAATGCTCTGCTCAAATGCATCAATTGTCTTTGGTAGTTCTTCCCTGTGATCGTTTCATTTGGTTGTAGCAAATAAAATACCACTTCTAGCTGGTCCTACCAAATACACTGCACAATCTTCTCACTATGAATATTCATGATTCTGAGGCACGGCCAGGGTATCCACACGTTGCCCGACATTTTGGATTATATGATGCACTAGCGCGCCATCTGTTATCCAAATTCAAAACTATTTTAAAAGCGTAAGATTCTTTTTAAAATTAAACAATTTCTACTGCCCTTACTTCAATGGAAAAATTAATGGGAGGGCCTGGCTCATTAGTGGTGAACCCTCCCAGCGGTTTCGCCAGTTTAATCTACCATACCGCTGTTATATTGCATTTTTGGAACTTCCTTTTATAGTGATACTGTTGATAGACTCTTGGAATGGGTATTTTAGAAGATCTATTGTTTAATTTCAAAAAGATTCTTACGCCTTTAAAATAGTTTCGAATTTTGATAACAGATGGCGCGCTAGTGCATCATATTATAAATGTTCTAATAAAAGAAACAATTTGATATTTGCGGAAGAGCGATTGCTCGAAGCATATTATATATTTATAATTATATGTAATTCTACTGTCCTCAAAGCTCATGTCTATAGTTCTTCTAAAATACCCATTCCAAGAGTCTATCAACAGTATCACTATAAAAGGAAGTTCCAAAAATGCAATATAACAGCGGTATGGTAGATTAAACTGGCGAAACCGCTGGGAGGGTTCACCACTAATGAGCCAGGCCCTCTCATTAATTTTTCCATTGCAGTAAAGGCAGTAGAAATTGTTTAATTTTAAAAAGAATCTTACGCCTTTAAAATAGTTTCGAATTTTGGATTATCATAATGGGCCCACTTTTCATCACCAGTTACAATTAAATGCAAACCCCCCTTTCTTTTTTTGATTTCGGAGCAGTTGTTCACACTAAAAAAATGGCGTCAACATCACTTGGCTTCAGTTCATACGTCACCCAATTCCCTACCTTTAGGATTATTCCCATTTCTTTTAAGCAATAAAAAAAACCTGGTGCAGTGACTCTAAAGTGTTTTTGCGAGTCCCGTTTGTGTTGGATCTTCATCGAGCCTTGCCTTTAATTCATCCTCAAACTTTGGTGGCGCTCGGGGTTTTTCTTTGTCTTCTAAATCAAAATTGTCACTTTTAAACCGTGCAAACCACTTTTGACATGTTCGTTCAGCTAGAGCAGGGTCACCATAAACTACAATGACTCTCAGCAGCCCTTTTCTTCATATTGAAGTAATGAAGTAAAACTCCCCCAAAAACACATTATTTGGTACAAAAGTTGACATTTTAGGAGCAAACAGAAACTAGGTTGTTTATAATTCAGAGAAATGACAGTTACTGTAAAAGGAAACCTTATGATGACACTTCAAAATAATTTTATTGCCAGATGGAACAATAAACTAGTAGTGCCATCTTTATCAAAACCGCATGAACTTATTTATATTCCCAATACTACTCTGATCAAAAAGTTTCGACACTTTGCTCATAATAATAATAATAATAAAAACTTTATTATTCTACCAAATTCAAATTGTCCCCTTCAAAGTAGTCCTGGTGGCTGCGATGCACTTCAGCCACCTTTTTTTTCCAGTGGGCAAAACACCTCTGGTAGTCTGTTTTCGGGATCGCCTTCATGGCCTTCTTCGATTCCACTTTGATCTATTCTATGCTCTGAAATTTCCGACCCTTTAACTTTTTTTGAGCTTTCCTTGTCCACTTTTTCAGGCGTGGTTGATGTGGACGGTCTCCCGGAACGCTCGTTGTCTGCGGTCTCTTCCCGACCCTCCTTGAAGCGCTTGTACCACTCGAAAACTCGTCTTCGGCTCATGACGGCATCCTCGTAGGCTGTTTGCAACATCCAAAAAATTTCGGCACCCTTGAATCCGTTTTTCACACAGAACTTGATGCAAATTCGTTAATCCTCCATTTCGGTGACTAACGAAATCGAAGCAAGGGCAAAATGGCTTCACTTCGAACAGCCGCTGTTCGCTGTTGTGGCGCATGCTTTTTGAAAATTGGCAGGTCTCCAAGCCAAGGGCGACGCTTGCGTTGCCACAAACCGGGAGAAAATATATTGAGTTTTCAGGATTTTATGAGCAAAGTGTCAAAACTTTTTGATCAGAGTAGTACTATTTATTTATAAAGATGCTTATTTTGGATCAATACATTCATTTATTTATTCTTCCAATATTTCGTGTGGCTACTCGCCAAACTTCCTTGGGGGAACAAACTTTCTGTGTAAACACAATATTGTTTTGAAAGCTTAAGGAACATTAAAAGGTTTGTTTATATAAGTGTCAAGGGATGGGAATCGAACCCACGACCTTCCGCTTACCGGGCAGATGCCATGACCACTAGGCCACATGACCACAAAGTGTCAAGGGATGGGAATCGAACCCACGACCTTCCGCTTACCGGGCAGATGCCATGACCACTAGGCCACATGACCACAAAGTGTCAAGGGATGGGAATCGAACCCACGACCTTCCGCTTACCGGGCAGATGCCATGACCACTGTTTATATATTAAACTAGACGAATGACCCGGGCAACGCCCGAGTTTACCCGATTAAATGTTTTATTCAAACACTATTCGTTACAATTATAAATTGGCGCCGTGGATGTCACTCTTGTGAAACGTCCCGCTCCAAACTTTACATGTACATTAGGTCAGCTGATATTACCTCCCATCTTCGCCGCTAGAGGCGCTGCTCGCGAGCTAAGTAGAATAATTTGAATATATAGTTTTAATAATTGATTTATATATTTTTTAAAATAGCCTATCGTCTTCCCCGCATTTTTTTTACCTATGTATGGAAATTTTGGTTTGAATTAGTGAACTACTGCGAATTTGTATACAGGACATACAAACATTCATTTATATATATATATAGATATATATACAGTAAAACCCCTCTATAGTGAACCCCAATGTGACAGAGCTTTTGGTTCACTATAGCCACGGGATTTCAGACCGTATAATTAAAGGACAGCCATACAAACAGGAAGAGGCCGCCTCTTAATAGTGGTCACTTTGTTTTAATTCCTTTAATTGACCAATTTCCTTACATTAATACTGAATAATAAAAGAAATCATTAGATGATAGGTTCTTCTTATCATTAACATACATGTACCTCTATGTCTAATTTCAAAATCAAGACAAATCTTAGGCAAAGTTTTATTAAATACATATTCAAAAATATAAAATGATTTTAAAACATCTTTATCACATTTTATGCTACAATGTTTACTTGGGAAATGGCTCTAATACCTTGTTGCTTCAAAGCCCTCTTCAAGCATTGCACCATTCAAATAAAGTTAGTGTTTTTCTTTCATTTCATGTTTCCACATATTCTTCTTAAGTCTAGATTTCATTATTTTTTAACCTGTGATGAAAAAAATTCCTGGCTTTAAAATAACCATAGTTCATGGCATAAAAAAGTTTTTTTGCATCACGGGCCCGTTTATTTGGACGTTTTTTTTAAGCCCTAACACGTTGAGGTTGATTCCTCTTTGTAAACAATTTTTAATGGCCTTATATTTTATCTCTTATAATAAAAAAGTTATATTTTCTTATTTAACATGTTCTGAAATTTTACCTGTGTTGTTTCACTTTGAAAAGTTTGGAAATGGCCCCTTTTTTTTTCCTTTAGTAATAACATTTTTGTTTTTAGAATGTCTTTGTTTTCTTCATTTTGGAAGCCATATTTGCATTTTTTTCTATTCTAAATTTAATGGATGCAAAGATATTCTATTTAAAAAAGTATAATGTGTAAACATTTATATAACGTAAAGCAAAAATAGAATGTAAATCAAAACAAATAATGCCGCTAAATTTATTGTTTTGGAATCGCTATCCGCGAGCTGAAACATGCTCAAACTTTTGTTGTTTTAAATTACAATTTTAAGTTCGTTATAAGCATAGTATTTTAAATAGATTTTATAATTTTGGACCGTAAATAGGTTTGTTATAGGGGTAGTTCGCCATTTTAATTCGTTATAACGATGGTATTTTCAATGGAATGGAATTGGGAATCGCCGTGGGTTCGTTATAAGGGAAGGTTCGCTATATCCAGGGTTCGTATTAGCGGGGTTTTACTGCATAAGCCTAAAGAAAACACAATACAGTTAAACCTGTCTATAGCGCCCCCTCTAAATAGTGCCTCCCTCTCTATAGTGCCCAATTTTAAATACGTAGTATGATGCGATTTACATTAAAAGTAACCTGTCTATAGCACCTCCTCTCTATAGCACCCTATTTTGGTGATTCCCAAGAGGGGGTGCTATAGACAGATTCAACTGTAATATGAATTTTTCAATAGCAATAATATAACAACAATGTAAAATGCAGTTTGGTGCCCAACTTCACAGAGTGATGGACTGGTGCAGGTAAGATGGAGGACCCGTGCATTGCACGACTGTACAAGGACAATGTACTTCGTGAGACCTGCCTCACCAAGCTGGAGTATTTCCGGCGAACCATGAAGAACCCCAGGTCTGACTTCCAGCAGAAGATTAACAATTTAAAAAAACAGCTCCAAACAGAGAAACCCACCAGACTCCGAATCTCAAAAAAATTTATGGCACTGGTGGACATGTTTCCTGAGGACCTACTAGAGGAGGTAAGAGAACTTTAGTTTTCATTGCAATACATATAGTTGTCATGGCAGCACCTCTGGTTGTTATGGTTGTCAAGGAAGCATCTATGGTAGTTATGGTAACACATATGGTTGTCAAGGAAGCATATATGGTTGTTGTGACCAATGCTGTTCACTGTGTGTGCAGACTGCCATAGCAGACTTCAACCCCCTCTACCGCGGTGGCACCATGGCTCTGTTGTCAGATGGCAGCCTGGTCCATTCCAGCGGCCGGAGCACCTTTGGTAAGTACAGACTCCAGCCCCACAGAACAGAATTGCTCACAATGGCTTGCAGCTGTGTCTAAACTTAGGGAGGAGTTTGGACTTGACAGTTCTTCCTGGTTGGAGGCATCTGTCCCGGAAGAATTTATCCTGGAGGACAAGGGCCATGTTCTTCAGATAGAGGCCTCTCACAGTAAGTTCCTCCTCTTCATTGGCTTTCACAGAATTGTGTCTTGTTAACCTTTCATTTTGTTGAGGATTCTCAGTTGTTTCTTTATGAACACATGCCATGCAAGTTCCTCTCTCTCTTATAGACTTCTTCACCAAACAAGATACAGTTAAACCTGTCTATAGCGCCCCCTCTAAATAGCGACTCCTTCTCTATAGCGCTCAATTTCAAATACATAGTACGATGTGATTTACATTAAAAGTGACCTAATAAAATTGATAAGGCACAATTTGGATTATAGATTATAAACACAAGGTAATAAAACCAAATCCAAATAAATAAATGGTGTGTGACGTTTCGGTAACAACGCTGTTATACCGAAACAGCACACACTATTTATTTATTTGGATTTGGTTTTATTACCTTATGTTTTTTGACCTCATAAAAGAAAATAAGACTTAATCCAAATACAGTAGAACTTGGATAATTCGAACTTCTTTAATTCGAAAACCTCTTTAATTCGAATATTTATCTTGGTCCCTAGAATTTCCTATATAAATAATTTAACATCTTTAATTCGAATTTTTGGATAATTCAAATTTTTTTATGGTCCCTTGGGGTTCGAATTATCCAAGTTCAACTGTAATTCATTTTAGTGCGTGATTATTTGATTATATCCAAATTATTTGGATTAGGTCTTATTTTCTTTTATTATAATCTATAATCCAAATTGTGCTTCATCATTAAAAGTGACCTGTCTATAGCACCCTATTTTGGTGAGTCCCAATAGGTGGCGCTATAGACAGGTTTAACTGTACATTAAAAGTGACCTGTCTATAGCACCCTCTCTCTATAGCACTCTATTTTGGTGAGTCCCAAGAGGGGGCGCTATAGACAGGTTTAACTGTACATTAAAAGTGACCCGTCTATAGCACCCTATTTTGGTGAGTCCCAATAGGGGACGCTATAGACAGGTTTAACTGTACATTAAAAGTGACCTGTCTATAGCACCCTATTTTGGTGAGTCCCAATAGGGGACGCTATAGAGGTTTAAGTGTACATTAAAAGTGACCTGTCTATAGCACCCTATTTTGGTGAGTCCCAATAGGGGACGCTATAGAGGTTTAAGTGTACATTAAAAGTGACCTGTCTATAGCACCCTATTTTGGTGAGTCCCAATAGGACTCTATAGACAAATTTAACTGTACATTAAAAGTGACCTCTTTATAGCACCCTATTTTGGTGAGTCCCAATAGGGGGCGCTATAGACATGTTTAACTGTACATTAAAAGTCACCTGTCTATAGCACCCTATTTATGGCGAGTCCCAATAGGGGGCGCTATAGACAGGTTTAACTGTACATTAAAAGTGACGTCTCTATAGCACCCTATTTTGGTGAGTCCCTAGAGGGGGCGCTATAGACAGGTTTAACTGTACATTAAAAGTGACCTGTCTATAGCACCCTATTTTGGTGAGTCCCAAGAGGGGGCACTATAGACAGGTTTAACTGTACATTAAAAGTGACCTGTCTATAGCACCCCCTCTCTATAGCACCCTATTTTGGTGAGTCCCAATAGGGGGCGCTATAGACAGGTTCAACTGTACATTAAAAGTGACCTGTCTATAGCACCCCCTCTCTATAGCACCCTATTTTGGTGAGTCCCAATAGGGGACGCTATAGACAGGTTTAACTGTATTTGAATTATAGATAGAATCTATTTATTGATCCACTTATAATGTCATGTAATGTTCCAGCTGGAGGGTTCTGCGTTCGCCAGAGAAGCTCTCTCACTTTCTACTCCACACCAGATTCTGTCGCACACTCTGTCAAAGCCGATCTTGAGTTTGTCAAGCTGAGGTAAGTTTCTTTCGGGATAAATACATTTCTCCACCAACTTAGGATTGAATACCACATTGTGCATCAAATTATTTAAACAGCCTCTCCTGATTGAACAAGTCTAATCTCACCAGTAATTGTATATACACTAATGGACAAAACTTAAGGAATTTGTACCTTTTAACATGTATATTGGGTAACTCTGGTTCAAATCACATTAATAGGTACCGCTCAGCAAGAGCAACCTAGTTCATGATAATTGAACATTTAACGCGGGATTCAATCCCGGTTCATGACTGTCGGGAATCGAGCGTGTTACCCTCTCATCCACCGACTTTTTTGTTAATTTTTGGGTAACCCTGAAAGATATTTGATACACATGGAACTTTATTGAAGAACATGATATAACCAAGTGTGAACAAAATTGCCTCTGTCTCCTTTAAAAAAAAAATAGACAACTGGTGCCATCAAAGACTTTCCTCTTCCTTAAATTTTGTCCATGAGTGTAACTAAACAGGGCTTTAATACCATGTAAGTGAAAATTTGAAGTGCTTTCTTCATGTGAAAACATAACTTAGAGTGTGAGTAGTTGCATTGCCTCCTTGCCCACCATAATGGTCACTTGGGATAAAAGAGAGTTGTTCCATGTGCTTCTCACTTCCAGGTAAATAATTCCTTGAAG